GATGTGTGTGTCCGGCCGCACCGCCCGGTGTCGTACAGTTATGCTAAGTGCATTCGGCCGCACCGCCCGGTGTCGTACAGTTCTGATGTGTGTGTCCGGCCGCACCGGACGGTGTCGTACGGTTCCGATGTGTGGTGCCCGGTGTCGGACAGTTCTGATATATGTGTCCGGACGCACCGCCCGCTGTCGTACAGTTCTGATGAGTGTGTCCGGCCGCACCGCCCGGTGTCTTTAAGTTCTGATGTGTGTGTCCGGCCGCGCCGCCCGGTGTCGTACATTTTTGATGTGTGTGTCCGGCCGCACCGCCCGGTGTCGTACAGTTATGCTAAGTGCATTCGGCCGCACCGCCCGGTGTCGTACAGTTATGCTAAGTGCATTCGGCCGCACCGCCCGGTGTCGTACAGTTATGATGTGTGTGTCCGGCCGCAACGTCCGTTGTCGTACAGTTCTGATGTCTGTATCCGGCCGCACCGCCCGGTGTCGTGCAGCTCTGATGTGTGGTGCCCGGCGTCGTACAGTTCTGATGCGTGTGTTGCGTCATGTGTTGCATCGATTGGGCTTCTCCACTTGGAATTGGTACGGACGACACCATTTATCAAAAGCTCAGATCCACTGTTGGCGCGACATCGGCCTAGATGATAATGATGTCGATAAATCATGTTTTGTGGACATCTCTTCGTCCAACAGCATGGTTGCCACTGGCTGCCTGTATGAAATGTCCAGCTCGACAGGATGAGCTGCTTGTGAAAAGTTTGACTGATGGCGGCAGATAAACTTGAGCCAATCGCTATTTTGCTAAATAATTTAGTTGTTTATTTTTCTACGAATAGTTCTGACGCCTTCCACCCGCAAACCAAACTTAAAGATAGGAGCGCTGTATCTCAAAATCAAGCAAGCTTCTCATCGGAAAGATCACGAGAAAGATAGCAGAGTTTTTCCTCCCTGGACAACAGGTCTTCTGCAGACCACATCCGGTTTTCCGGCAAAGCCGCAGCCGAAGCAGGTGTGCGGAGGGCCAGTTACACTGCACTGTCGGCGTTGAACTTTCAGCGACATGCGCAGGCTATTTTCCGTGTGAAATTTGCGCAATCAGATAGGTGAGAGGGACATTGTAATCGTTGTGAGCAGCTGAAATAATTTTACCAAAACTGAAATTGGGATTGGCGCTTGCGCATGCGGATTGCCTGATGTTCGAATTAAAGCTTTCCGCCTTGTCGCCTTTGGGAGTGCTGTTGGGTGTCCGGACCTGACCGATAGGGTTTAAAAGCTGATCGTCATTATTTTAACTAACCTACCCTGATTGCGCCATGTCTTTTGAAGACATCTGTGCTAGCAGTCGCGGACGGCTATCGCCCCTCACCCCCCCCCCCCCCCTCCCCCATGAGTTATTTTCTTGCAAATGCTCGCCAGGCCGTTGGTGTTGGTATTCTAAGCCTCAGTGATTTTTCCTAAAAATCAAGTTGATATGATCGGTTACGATATAAGCTCCTTGCCTCATTTCGACGCGTTTAAATAAACGGCCCCTTCGAGATATGTCATGTCGAATCACGGCTGTGTCAGGTGACCGTGTCAGACAGGAAAGCAACTGTGTTAGACACAATTTTTTGTATTTTACCCGGGCGAAATTTGGTTAAAGTGAGTACTGGCTGACTCGTGTCTTAGGGCGCCATGACTGCTTGCTCATTTGGTGCCCAGTCTGAAGTGAGTAATAGTGATCTATCACATCAATATTGATGACATTTAGGTGATGTCTATGAGACGCTATTAGTGGATACAGAAGCCATGAAGGAAGAAACATTGGTACGCATCTGTACGCATGCATAGTGTTTGAGCACGTGGGGTGACCAATAACTACCTATGAAAGCAAGGTAACTTTGTTCAGTCAATAAAATGTATGCATATAACATGTGCAATGAATAGCAGAGCTGCCTGTTCGGCGGCCACGCCACGCAATTACATCGGGAGAACAGGGGAGCAGGGGACATTTAGTTTGGGTCGAGCTGTCGGGCACGGTTACAGTTTGGGTTCAGCTGTCGGGCACGGTTACAGTTTTCTTCTTGTTTGGCTCCTGCCGTCAGGTGCATCGGCAATGACAGGGAGGCGCACTCAGGTCCGAGCAGGGGTGGTTCCAAGCCATTGGATGGCAGGTGAGTATTTCGTTGTCAGGACTGTAGCGGTTTTAGTGTCTATGCTCCGTTGGTGTGTGTGAATTTTTGACATGATTTTATGTATTTATAACAAAGCGTAGCAGAAGCGAAAACAGGCAGCACAAACAGGTGACTTCATGCCTTCTATTCGGGCTTTGGGGAAACAGGCACAACATTTTGAAAGGGGTTCCTCAGCATTGATCAAATCAGCCCTTATCTGCCTCTAATTGTCATCCGTCGCTGGCATGGATAGCTGATCGTGATATTCATACAGTCTTTCCGGCATGCGAGACGGGCCTGTCACGCATGGTAAATTTGTTAGCATTGAACTAATAAGGCCAAAGAGTTTGTGGCCTGCCCATTTATCAGTGTTCTACTAACATTTCATAGCCGGCGATGCCTTATAGCAGTTGCTTTCCGGCAAGTTTGATGCGCTCAATCATTGATGAAATATGAAGATAATGTGTAGTGTACATGTTATATATATATATATATATATATATATATATATATATATATATATATATATACAAGCATAGTTATGTCTTCTCACACTGACACAAAAGTGGCTGTGTGCTGTTTGATATTATAAATTGGTTACATTGCAGTATATTGTCCCACAACACTTTCTTTCCGCACTGATAACGCCTATGAAATTGTTCTGAACGTTTATATATCAACTTCTATGCCTTGTATGACCTGCTTTTTCTCTACTTTGTATGGACATTGCGTCGGCCCTTACCCGTGTGCCTAGGCCATTTCTGAAGGTTGGTCGGTATATAATGATCTTCACAAATCACTGAATGTCGGTGATTGTCATTTTGTCATCATTGTGCATCATCACTGAAAATGCAGTTTAGATTTTAGTTGTAGGCGGTCCGGCTCAACTCTGATGTGTCAGTCTCGCCATGCCTAGATTTTATTTAGTTTTTTATTTAGTTTCTAATTTAGATTTTTTAAAGTAGATTAGATTTTAGTTGTAGGCGGTCCGGCTCAACTCTGATGTGTCAGTCTCGCCATGCCTATTAATACCGGGAGCCACATTCGTCATGTAAGACGAGTTGCAGAACGGCACGTGTACTTGCGTATACGCATGTGTCCTTGCAGCTAAAACTAGTTGATGCATTGTTCACTTTTCGCACTCATGGTACTCGTGCGGAAAAAAGATTGCTGCCGGTAAAACCGCGGTGTCTATAATAAGCATTCCTACGATTCATTGCAGAACTAGGTCAGTGATTTAATGTGACGGCTGCCTAGAACATCGGCCATCCAGATTGTCATTTACTTTCTGGGTAAAGTTCGGATATAAAACTAGCCGCTCTATCTCATCAATTTATTGCAACACCTTAAGACGACAATAATACGATTATCATCACAACCATGGCAATCCACATAACATGTGCCCAAATGAATGCGACCACAATGCCATTTTACACAAGACCTCCCATGGTGGCAGTTCACTCGCCGCTAATGTATGGCAATGAGACGGAAATAAGCGACATTAACGGCCGTCGTGTACAACATCGGGTTTGGCACATATCTACTCAAGTAAGAGACCAATTAAACAGCTCGTGTGCATGCATCTATGACGACACTAGCAAGAATCAAGATAATCAAAACACCGCGTTCCAGCAGTCACGTACCTTTTCAGACTATTTATTCGGGCTGCATTAGGCTCATGCGCTTGTGCCAGCTTTTTGGATTGCCGATACGTAACCAGATAAAACAAAATGCAACACAGCGTGCGCCACGGTTGCCTACAGTGTGTGGCTTGCCACCGGGTTGCCATGGTGAGGCTCTCAGTAAACAGCTATCCTATATACGCACCACCCCACAGGACTGGCACGACTGTGAGTAATGATACACTTGAGATTCTAGTGACTAGCTTCTGGCGCAATGACACTTGGCATCACATTTGCCCATCGTGCATACAGTAATGTTTATGAAACGCAGCAAAACACATAGGCTGTACTAATTTCTTCGCAGAAAGAAAATTAGGTTGACTTTTCTCTCCGACTTCGATTGTTTTCAAATCACAGTTATCTGACGCCACAAAACTGAGCAGATGAGAAAGGAATGTGACAACAGCGTTGCCCCACAGTCAACGAAGATATGCCCGGACTATAAAATAACAGACTGAAAATAATAGCTTATTGCGTATTTTTCCTTTAACAGCACGATGGTTATGTCACTCTTCAATTTATATAATAACGCTTAAAAACACATTTCGATGCACTCAAAGCTTAGCAACTTCAAAAATTATCAATGCATGTCGTTTGCCAGTCATGGCGTGGGATGCCCCAAGGAGTTATTGCTTGTAGACGTATGGTACTTGCAAGAGGCCAAACCACATTCTTGCAATATAATCCTTCATCAAGTGAAGTACGTGTCTGGGCCTCTCTTAAGGTAATCCCACAGGACAGGCTGTCTATCTCAGACCTCGTAGAATTTTCAGACTGCTGCACAAAGTAGATCGACACCTTTCTGTAAGCGGCTTCTGTCGATGATACCAGTTCAACTACTGTGTTGGGACTTTTAATTTTGAAACAAATACATTGAGTGGAACGATGCAAAAGGAAAAGGGGCTAGAATTACCACCTGACACAATTTCAACTGGTTTCCTTTCATTGCCTTTGCTAACTGCAAACGACACTAGCGATGCCAGGGACCTGAGGAACCACGCTCATCGTAAAATAACATACAACAAGGCCAAACGAACGATTGCACGCCGGCGGGACTGAGACAAGAGCCACACCGGGACGAGGCCATGGCGAGGTCGTCTGAAGAAGGTCAGCCGATGGAAGGGGTGAACCCGGCCACGTCCTGTGGGACGACGGCGCCGCTCCGCCCCCATCAGTGGCCGGTGCGCTGCGCCATGCAGCGGCACTTCTTGACGAGCCGGACGAGACGGCGACGGCGCGCCGGCATCTGACCCGGACAGTGGAACGTCACCGCCACCGTCTTCCAGCGGCGCGGTGCGCACGCCGGGCACGAGCGGAACGGCCGGCGGTCGGCGCGCCCCTCGCGCGGGATGTAGAACGAGTTGCACTGGCCGTAGCAGAAGTGGTCGAGCACGCGGCGCGAGCGGCAGCCGGGCTCGCGCAGCCGGCGCACCAGCCGCTCCGTCTTGCACCAGTCGTGCTTCAGGTAGTGCCGCTTGGTGATGAGCCGCGCGCTGCGCGAGGACTGCAGCACCGAGGGTGGGATGAGCGCGAGCGGCGGCGACAGCGGCGGCGTCGGCGGCGGCGGCGTCACGTCCGGCGGAGACGGGTCCGCCCGGCGGCGCGACTGCAGCACGCGCGTCACGGCCGGCACATCCATCTGCTCGAGGATGGTCGGGCCGCGCCCGGGCTTGGGCCGCGGCGCCGGGTCGGCCCCGCCGCTGGCCAGCAGCAGCCCCAGCGCCAGCAGCTGCAGCGGCTGGCGGCAGCTGGCCCCCGCCGACGGCTGATGGCGGCTTGAGGACCGGCGGCTGCGGCAGGCGGCGACGTGTCAGCCGCAGGGCGGGTCACGAACGTTGACAGTCACGAGACGGCGTCACACAGATCTGCAGGTACACGTAGCAAAGCAAGCATTTCACCGAGCATGAAGCGTTATCACCTATTCCCTCCAGCTGACGTTGGATAAAAATGTACCTGAGCCAAATTCAGAGACAGAACTTAAACAAAACCGTTAAGGATGAAACTGAATTTGTGTACCAATTCATGTCATAGTACACACGTTGTATGAATGATCTGAAACGTCAGAGCTTGACTATGGCTAGGGCTGCACTATGGCGGGCAGATATATTACGGACACGCCTATAGTCTTTACTTAAACCTAAGCTATCTTAATGCCTGAGGGCAAAAGCAATAACACGCGGAAGTTCCGTAAGTGCCTTGACCCGTTCAAGTACACTACACATGCCAAGGTCAAAGTGGTGCTTGGCAAGGTCAAACGTGCGCTAATGAGCCAGGTCAGGGGATCAACGGAGGTCGTGCCGTATCTAGTCATGACATATCCAAGCAATAATGCTTGTGCTTATTTTGACAGATCAGTACTTGAATCGATATATTTTCGAGATGTCGGACTATCGACGAGATAATCAAAGTTTGCAACGGAACATATTACTTGAAAACGCTGTGAATCATGAAATTCACTTACTCCTTAAATGGTCAGACCTGACCTTGACCTCATGTGAACTGACTTCGTGCCCAGATGTTTTCAATGTAAAGGTATACTGCTGATGCGGAAGAACACGCTCTTTCCTAGCGTGTCAGTTTCGAAGCTACATCAATGATTGTTAAAAGCGCTAGATGGATTCGAAGTCAACAGGCGACTTCGATGATTGATATGATCAGGTACATCAAGCGCAGTTTGAATTTCTTCGATCTACCGATCAGATCCTGATGCATCACGGGGGGGGGGGAGGGGGCGAAGCAACTCTGAAGTTATCGTGATCTGCGAAACACCACAGATTGTTATATTTTTACCGAAGGATTGAGACGAGATACTAGTACCAGAGGTGGCATAATTGTTCGGGCTATCCTCATTTGGCGTCTTGGTACGTATACGACGCTTCTGCCAGTTCACTCTGCAGCCGTCGTTAGATATGGTGTAGTCCTTAGAAGAACTGGATGAGGCTTGGCTTTGAGCCAAGTACGCGTCACAACCCGAATTCTCCACTTGGGATTTCAGGGATGCAAACCAGGGTCTTGTCATTGCAAGGGTAGGGCTCCACCGTCTCGGATGTCTGGTTGGCCCAGTAAGTAGAGTGCTGGACTCGCAATCGAAAGGCCCTGGTTCGCATCCTAGCAATTCCATCGAAAGAATTAAGGTTGTGAAGTGTACATGAATGAAAGCCAAACAGCATCCTCTAATGACTCCATAGCACCTGACGTCGGCCGATGTATTGAGTTCCCGACAAGTTATGTTCATGCTATCACACCAGACAAGGACGTTAGGACGAGCAATTGTTCCTCCACCGTAAATGTTTGGTTAATTTCGTGGTGGTCAGGAACCCTGCAGTTGTGTTGCCTTGCGTTGTGCTGTGTTGCCCCCAAAATAGGAATTTGGTATCGATCACGACGTTACTCGCAACCACACCACAAATGCCAGCTCAAGAAAAGAGTTTTTTCGCTTCTTTTTCTCTGAAGCTATTACACCCGGAAATACCCCGAAGCCGAGAGCGGTGCACACTTGCTGCGCGTTCATAAATAGGCCCATCCCAAAACAACACAAATAAGGAGACCATGGAAAAAAGTGGAACAGAATTTGTCTTCTGTTTTGTCCGCCATTCCATCCTTTACAAAAATTCGAAACGCCTGTGAATGTTTCCCAAGCATCGCAACGATGCACGACTGTGCGTGTATCAACGCCGCAGATATTCCCTATCTCACCTCAGTGCATACATGCTGAACGTCCAAGAGCGTCGATGACCTGCCCTGGCAGCCTCCAGCACTCCAGCGGTGTGCGTCTCGTGCGGCACGTGACTCTGGGAGCGGGTCGGTGCGGACCGGCGCCGTGCTGCTGCTCCAGCCCTGGACTGAGGGTCGCCCAGGCCGGCGCGGACCGCCTGCTCGCTTCGCCGTCCCACTGGCGCCGGGGAGGAGCCGGCGCCGGCGGCCGACCGCCGCTGCGCCCCTGTCCCCGGCCTGGTCCGGGCCCGCGCTGCGACGGGCGTTCCTGTCGACCGGGAGCGACTTGCAAGTGGGAAGGTGCGTGGATTACCAACGGTTCGCTGTTTATTATCTCAAGGATTCGCGGACAATTTGGGTTAATTAAGGCAGAAATATGGGGTGATTTTATGGGCGGACACGATTTCATTATTTGGTTACATACCAACCATTCACGAGTCATCAAATTTTGACGACCATAAATTCGTACAATTATGGCAACATATTCGTCCGACTGTGCCAGACCTGTAATAAGACGCGATCCAATAGGAAACATACGCATTGACGCGTTGATCTATGTGCGCAGAACATCAACGAAGCACTCATTCGACGAAGAGCATTTCATTCTACGAACAGTCACTTCAGATTTCTTGTTAACAGAATCTCGGCAGCGACCGGGAAGGATCTTCTCAACAGCCGGACAGACGGCGGAATATTTATTGGCCCCGATAAAGTACTACTGGCCAGGGTGGCTGCATCACTCTTATGGTCCAATTCGTATTTGATTGGCTGTTGGGATGAGTTACGATTCCAGTTCTTGGAAGCGCCCTCATGCTGCGCGTTTGACTTCGTTCGCTTTGTCATATTCTGAGGCGCTCAGCTCCACCGAGCTCGCGATGGCCTCAGCAATCTCTCATCGATCCCAAGCGCGCTGGAGTCTTCAGCACCATTAGCGTTAGTCATCAGCAGGAGGCGCAACTGTGCAACAGTCCGTGTTGTCCGCACGTCAGTGGGCTAGGGGCTGGACAGTATATGGTGGTTTATTTCCTCAGCTCTGACCAGTCAGCATCACGACAATCTCAGCCTAGCCACATCAGCGCACACCCGTTGTCATTTCATGGATACTCGCACGTCACGGCCAGTAGCAGCTGCTCGTCCCTGACATCAGCATCGTGTTTGGTGTCGCCGACAACCTTTCATCACTGCCATCGACACTGGTGTGTCAGCGCTAATGGCGCGGGTTGTGCAGTGGTAGCAGTAGCCCTCCGCCGTCAGCCGTCTGTCATACCCATCAATAGCCTCTGTCAGCGCTATCGGCGCGGGTTGTGCAGTGGTGGCAGTAGCCCTCCGCCGTCAGCCGTCTGTCATATCCACCAAGAGCCTCTGTCAGCGCTATCGGCGCGGGTTGTGTAGTGGTGGCAGTAGCCCTCCGCCGTCAGCCGTCTGTCATATCCATCAATAGCCTCTGTCAGCGCTATCGGCGCGGGTTGTGCAGTGGTAGCAGTAGCCCTCCGCCGTCAGCCGTCTGTCATACCCATCAATAGCCTCTGTCAGCGCTATCGGCGCGGGTTGTGCAGTGGTGGCAGTAGCCCTCCGCCGTCAGCCGTCTGTCATATCCACCAAGAGCCTCTGTCAGCGCTATCGGCGCGGGTTGTGTAGTGGTGGCAGTAGCCCTCCGCCGTCAGCCGTCTGTCATATCCATCAATAGCCTCTGTCAGCGCTATCGGCGCGGGTTGTGCAGTGGTAGCAGTAGCCCTCCGCCGTCAGCCGTCTGTCATATCCATCAATAGCCTCTGTCAGCGCTATCGGCGCGGGTTGTGCAGTGGTAGCAGTAGCCCTCCGCCGTCAGCCGTCTGTCATATCCATCAAGAGCCTCCGTTAGCACTAGCAGCGCTCAGTACCTATCCGTCAGAAGCTCAACAAGGCTTCAGTGCTTCTAAACCAAAACAGAACGACTTGTATCAGGGACGCAGCCAGGACTTTTTAACGGCAGTCGGGGGACGAGAGGGAGAACGGAGTTCAGTGAGACGGCATCACGCTGATTTTTAACTTTTCTTTGGTTAAATGTAAAGTTATGCGGGTCTAAGCCCCCTGGCTGCGCCTGGGACGCTTATGAAGTGCGGCATGAACTGTTAAAAGCTTTGCTGACTTCTGATGTATTTCGAGGTACAGGTGTAACCCGAAAAAGAACGCCATCATTCCGCTTGGCTAAATCTCTCACGTCAATCATTTGTTAATAGTCATAGTAATGCTTTCGTACCCAAACCCAGCTCACATATGGATATGTGTTTAATGCTATTGTTTTATCGCTGGCTCTAGAACGTGTACAAACTCTGGCGTAAACAACGAAGTTACTGTTTTGAATGTTAAAGTGCAAATAGTGCCTATAGGTGTAATAGTCCCCCGCTCCACCCCCCCCCCCCCCCCCCCCACCCCTCCGAGCGGTCACCAGCATGTTGCGTCGGCGGTCCGTCGGGCCAATGGTGCTCACCGCAACCCTAAGCCTGTCCGTCAAATGGACTTCTTAGCCGCAAGGAAAACTCACTTTCATTTCCCCGTGTATGGCGCCCTGAAAACTCATCACTCACCGTCCCACCGAGAAGTTGTGAAAACCGTGGATGTGCGCCTAATCCGCGTACGTTTGGAGGAGCCCCGGTGCCCCTGTCGCGTGACCCTTCATCCGATAACAGGCTGCCGTCCCCAGCACGGCCTGACCCTTGTAGGGGAGGCTCCCCACTGCGACTGGTCGGGATGATGGAGTCATTTGTCACCCGTCGCAGACACGTCAGCGTTCGACGTCTGCATTTGGGA